GCATATATAGATGTATTCATTTGATAATAAACCTGACCATGTATTTTAAAACAATAAGGTCCAGGACGTGTATTATTAAAATCAACTAAATTTGCATTAAAGGATGCAAAATGCAAATGAATTATTATAACATCGAACACGTTCATGAAAATGATTTGATAGTTCATGCGTTCCGTCAAATAAACTCTGCAATATTAATGGTGGCTTAGGTAAATCTTCCAGAATAACTTCACCATGCTTACAACAATCATTAAAAGAATTTTTTTTATTGGGCACTTGCTCTGCTTTAAAATGCTTAGCATTACAATGCTTACATAAAATGTTCATTTCACCAGAATAATGTTCCTCTATAACTGTATCTGTACAATTATTACACAGGTTTTCAATCTGAGAAAAATTCCGTTTCCTTTTTCGATAATTGCGTTGATAATCAGCTTTTTTAAAATGATATGACTGTCTTTCTTGAACAGTGTAATCAACATTTTTATTTCTTATTTCATTTGATGCAATGGACACATAATTCTCAGTGCTTGATGAAGTTGAAGGCAAGCTTTGAGAAAGAATATTTACAAATTGATCTGTACATGGATCGCTGTTTGAATCCAATTCTTTATGTTTAACATCACTCTTTTCATAAAAGCTGTCGACTTTTATTTTTTTTAATGTACTTGATGCAACAGATACAACATTATCAATGCTTAATGATGTTGAAGGCATACTATCGACTTCTATACGAACATTATTATTAGAATTATTTGAAATATTTTTAACATTATCATTTACTTTTTGACGGTATCTTCTTTGAGAATCTGCTTTTCTTTGAAGTTTTAAAAGTTGGTATTGTTCTTCTTCCGAAGGAGAACGTACTGCACGTCTTTTTGGCATGATTAGATTGGAAAATTTAATTTACATTCCATAAAATTTATAACCTATTACAAATTTATAGAAAATGTAAACACTTTGTTTTCAAGCTTATAAAACAAAGAATCTCATGCGTTTTAACTGAAAAGTTTGATATATTTGCAAGATATTTTGTAGCTAATGTAAAGATATAATGTATAAATAATGTAGATATCTATCAATACGATTTAATATATATATTTTTAAATTTTATGATATCTGTGTATTTGTCTGTGTATATCTGTCATATCTGTTTTTATCTTTTTATCTTATGTGAAACTGCTCCATATAATGTATCAATAATGTAAAGATATCTATCAATACGATTAAATGATATTATATACTTTAATTTTATGATATCTGTGTATTTGAATTCTGTGTATTAAATTCTTAAATCTGTCATTTGTTTTTATCTTTTTATCTTATGTGAAACTGCTCCATATAATGTATCAATAATGTAAAGATATCTATCAATACGATTAAATGATATTATATACTTTAATTTTATGATATCTGTGTATTTGAATTCTGTGTATTAAATTCTTAAATCTGTCATTTGTTTTTATCTTTTTATCTTATGTGAAACTGCTCCATATAATGTATCAATAATGTAAAGATATCTATCAATACGATTAAATGATATTATATACTTTAATTTTATGATATCTGTGTATTTGAATTCTGTGTATTAAATTCTTAAATCTGTCATATCTGATTTTATCTTTTTATCTTATGTGAAACTGCTCTATTTATTTTTTAAAAATATTTTAACACAACACAACAATTATAAACACTTCAAAAAAAAATTTCAATACTAAAATACATTCTTCACTTTTTTAATAATCAAACAATTCAATTATATTGCAATTTCACATTTTTAATTTCTCACTTTCATTTATTTATCTTAATTAAAATTCTTAAATTTGTTATATCTGTTTACATCACTTTTATTTCATGTGAAACAATTCTATTTTTAGAAAATATTTTAACACAACACAACAATTACAAACACTTCAAAAAAATTTTTCAATAACAAAGCACATTCTTCTCTAGCAATTTCACATTTTTAATTAATCACTTTTAAAAACAATAAAATTTTAACCTTTTTTACTATTCCTTTTCACAGGAACAGAAATGTAGAAATATTATGTTCTGTCGATTTTTTACACAATTTAAACAAAACACTATTGGTAAATGCACTTTTTCACTATTTATTGCTTTTTTACACACAAAAATAATAATCACATTTATCACTATTTCACTAATTTTTTCAAAGAAACAAATTATTATAAGTACTATATATCAATTTTCACTATTTGTTTCTTTATTGACACAGAACTGTATAAATATTACTTTTTCGCGTTTTCCAAATATGAATTATCAAAATGGCGTAAAATCACGAACAGTAAATGTTGATAGCGACGCGTCGACGTTCATTCTGTCTTTGTCTCTCGAATTGTTTGTCCTTGTTTCCCCCTAAAGACCGACGCGTCGCTATCAACGCGTCGAATCGTATTCTGAACTCTCCTTTAAGAACATTTAAAATCAACCAATAAGGAAAGGTATCTACACTTGAAGTTAGCTGCAGTTTACCTGTCGCCACTTTAAAAACCAATCAGATTTCACGAATTTGAATTTAAGCAAATCAGACGTCACGACTATGATTTAAACCAATGAGGAAAGGTATCTACGCATGAAGTTAGCCGATTACACTTCTCGTTTTTAAGAAAGGATATATATATATATATATATATATATTATATATATATATATATATATATATATATTATTATTATTATTATTATTGCACAATCTTTTTTCAATTTTTCAGAAAACATAATGAAAAATTATTTTAATTCATTAACTATTATTAGAGGTGAAATAAACAAAAAATTGAATTTTGCTCAAATGTATTTTCAAACTAAATCATATTTTTAAATTAAATTTTAGGGAAAATAATTTATTTAACAAAATAATTTTTTTTCATTAATTTGTTTCTATTTAAATCACAATAAATTTTAAATAAAATTTTCATAAAAAGTGAATTAATTACTTTAAAAAAATAAGTTTGTTTCCTAATTTTGTCATATGTAGTCTTAAAATTAGTTGTCATATTCAGAAATAATTGAATCTAAATTATATTTTTTTCTCAATAAATTGTTTGAACCGAGGGGGAATTTACTCAGGTAGTCAAGTGTACACTCTTCCTGTAATACTTGTGTAATAACGTGTAATACCGTGTAATAATGCGTTATTACGGTGCTGTAATAACGCAAAAAATCTGTAATATATCTGTAATAATGTGTAATACTCTGTAATAACATGTAATAACTTAGTAATAAGGGTAATATGAGGTGTAATACCGGTAGTCAAGTGTACACGTTTTTAACTAGTAAATTCCCCCTCGGTTTGAACGTTTCTCACAAGCGGTAAACTAAAATCCTGGTTAAAATATAAGGACAGGTCAAACCTTTTGAAGCAATGTAAAGCGAGCGATTATATGTATTGCGTTATTTTATATGTATGCGTTTAGTATGTATTACGTTAAATAAACATGTGTTGCGTGTATTAGGTGTAAGGTTAACATGATGTACTGTTTCAATTCCTATATGTGAGTATAAAATTGTGAACGATCAGAGAATCATTAAAGTAGGTGAATTAAGATTTCCAGTAATGGTAATATTTATTTTTTATATTTCTGTTATGGGAGTCATAAGGAATAAGAAAAAAATTTGGTATGATTTTTAAGTCTGTTTTTTTTCAAATGCGAGACAAAATACTGAAAAAAAAATAAAAAAATTTCAATTGTTTCAACTATTATATATCTACTACAAATTTTTTTTCAAGTTTTTTCATCCCTTAATACAGTAATATAATACTTAAGGAAACTTTTTTCTTAAAACTTTCTTAGAAACTATGCTGTTCCCATTTAACCCGAATTTTATGAAATTTCCTAAATTTTGGGGTAAATGGGGACAGCCAGTTTCATGCGTTTAAAGCTTATCTAAATTTTTTTCTACTTCATAAAATTAATCCTGAGAATGTAAATAACAACTTAAAAAAAATAAACCCGCTAATATTACCTTTTAAAGGAAGAAACTTACGTAATTTGTGAAAAATAGCGATTTTGTTTCTCCATTTACCCCAACTGACTCTAGTAAATTTTAATTTTATAATTTTTTGCATGAAAGTTTTGAAAAATTCAGTTAAAAACACACATTTAGAAAAAAAACTATTGAAATTGATGCATTTTTAAGAAAATTATGAGCATTCAAAAATAAAAAATCATTGAAATTTTGAAAAAATCATGAACCTCTTTTTTGGAGTGTACAAAACGGTAAAAAAAATTCAGCCAAATCGAAGAGATTAAAGTCAACGATATGTTGGTTTGGCATGGTACCTCTCATATTAAAGTAATGAATATAATATCTTATATGTTATATAGGATTTTTAATATATTATCAAATATTGCAAAATAATTTTATTTGTAACTTTTTGTCGTATTATGAACAGAAAATAATATTTAAAAAAAATTTTTAGGGAGGTCCGGAACATATATAATAATAATCACTCTGTACATTGAACATAATTTAAAACTTCCAAATTTGGTTACACTATTAGTGAGAGGTATAAAATTAATAAAAAGAGGTCGTTCGTAAATTTCTTATTACGTATTACATGAATAAGTTACAGAAGTATTTTTTTAATTGAAGACATATATCTTCTCATTGTGCTTCATCAATCTCTGCAGTACTTTCTCAGTGCAAATTATCGTAAATTTAAAAAAAAAATTATTTTTCCATTTTATTTTCATTTTTTTTTTTCTATAATGAAAAGGAAAGAAAAACAGTTTATTCCTTTAGAGATAAACATATTGTTTTTAAAACATTGATTTCAATTTTTTCATAATTATCATATATAAAATTTATGATTAACAAACAAAAATAATTTATTTTTTAATTTCTAAAATTTTTTAACTTTTAATTAATTTTTTTTTTCTCGAAAATTATTAAATACTTATTTGAACTAAAAATCAGAGTTTTTAATGTAATATATAATTATAGCATTAAACGTGAAAAAAGATTCTTTTTTATTTTTACCAAATGCAGATATGATGATGCCAATACCATCCGCCATTTAGAGCTGAAGTTAGTGCCAGTGGATTTCCCAAAATAGATACTAAAAAATCTCCAACCTGAAAAAATACAATTATCACTCCATAAATATGTGTATTCTAAATTAAACACAAAAAATTAAAAGAATTTATTTAAGAAAAAATATATTTAATTCAAATAATGGGATTTTTTTACTATTTATTTATTTACTTATGCGAGACCAAAATTTCTGAAGTGATCTAATTAAAAAAAAAAATTCTTAAATTATTAAAAATATACATTTTAAGTTCATTTTAACGGGCAAAAAAAAGAAATAAAAGGTCCTTTAAAAAAAAAAACTATTTTTGATTTTCAAAAAAAAGGATAAATTTTGAATTTTTTTTTTTAATTTTCCACCATTTGAAAGAACAGGAAAAATCTTTCGAAAACATGTAGGTCAATAAAAAAAACAAGTGTTTTAATATTTTTTTGAATTGCCTTATTTTGACCTAAATCTCAAAAGCAGATCGAATTATCAAAAGCTAAAATTCCATATAGTGAAATAACCATTTTATCGAATTGTTTAAAGTTCAAATTATCAAAGGATCGAATTTCTGAAAGTACGAATTACCACAAGATCGAATTTCCTTTTAAAAAAAAATTTGAAACATCTATATCTAAGATTTCACATAGAATTATATAAAGGAAACAATATAGGATTTCATATATAAGAATTTTTAGTTGGCAGACGGCAGTTTATAAAAATTAAAAATTATTTAATTAAAAATCAAATAATATTACTACAATTCATCTGAAAAGAAAAGAAATTATGCTTTGCAATACACCTTCTGAGTTAGAGTCTCAGCTTTTATAGTATTCAAGACTGATCTCAACTGTGAGAAAAAAAATTATCACCATCTGGCGGCGTAAGAGTGGAACTATGATGATCTACATCGATATTGGAATTTCCCATATAATTTCTCATATAATTTCCGACTTGGTATCTTAGATGGACAAATAAAACAGTGAAATCCACACATGACATCCCACATAAATTCCTATATGATTAATTCTTACATGAGATCCTATGTAAGATCCTGTATAGGATTTTACATGGATTTTTATATATATTCCTGTATGATGAATTCTTACATGAGATATATAAAAATCCATGTAAAATCTTATGTAAGATCTTATATAGGATCCTACATAAAATCCTATATACGATCCTACATAGGATCTCATGTAAGAATTAATCATATAGGAATTTATGTTGGATGTCATGTGTGGATTTCACTGTTTTATTTGTCCATCTAAGATACCAAGTCGGAAATTATATGAGAAATTATATGGGAAATTCCAATATCGATGTAGATCATCATAGTTCCACTCTTACGCCGCCAGATGGTGATAATTTTTTTTCTCACAGTTGAGATCAGTCTTGAATACTATAAAAGCTGTGACTCTAACTCAGAAGGTGTATTGCAAAGCATAATTTCTTTTCTTTTCAGATGAATTGTAGTAATATTATTTGATTTTTAATTAAATAATTTTTAATTTTTATAAACTGCCGTCTGCCAACTAAAAATTCTTATATATGAAATCCTATATTGTTTCCTTTATATAATTCTATGTGAAATCTTAGATATAGATATTTCAGAATCTACATGAAATCCTATATGATTTCTTATGTTCAAATCAATCATATATATGATCCCACGTGAGGATTTTTAATATGATTTCATGGCAGATTTTTTGTAATAATTTTTTATTCAAGAATCGAAAAAAGATTTGATGTATGATTTTTATATAGGAAAATTTCACATAGGAATTTACATAATTTATTACTTAAGAATACGTTTATAAGAATTTACATCGAATCCCACTTCAAATCATGTCTCAATTTCCTATATGATTTTTCATAAGATCCTATATAGTTTCTTACATCTTACATAGGATTTTATGTCGATTTTAATATATGAATTTATGTGAGATCCTATATAAGATCCTACATGAGAATTTTCAATAGGGAAATTCAATATTTTGGTTATTCGAACTTTTAAAATTTATATCTTTTGGTAATACGAACATTTAAGGATAAAATAAGCTGACTCAATTCATAGGACGTCGAAGAAGAGACCACCAGAGAAAAAGGAGGAGGAGGGCCCAACCATAGGCAGTCTTCACAAAGAAGATGGAGAATGGAAAGAGGCCCTCTCCAAAAAGGGAAAGAAAAAGAAAAGAAAAGAGAAAAAAACGGAGAAGAGGAAAACTGCGAAGAAACGAAATACAGAAGCCATCAGAGTGTCGGCAAAGGACGGGGAGTCCTATGCCGACATTCTGAGTCAGATGAAGACGTCGATCAACCCCTCCGACACGAATACGGAGGTCCTGTCCATTCGTAGGACGAGAAACCAAGAACTCACGCAATACTCACTGTTGTCAATAGGGCGAAGAAAGCCAAAGAGGGCAAAAGGAAAGGATTTTGTGCGCTCGTTGCTATAGACATACGAAATGCGTTTAATACTATCTTAGCGACAGATGGGTTGAATACAAGAGCGATGCATGTCATCTTAAACATAAGATGACATGCGGAGCTCCCCAAGGATCAAAGGTAGGTCCATTCATATGGAACGTCATGTACGACGAACTCCTGGGAATCGACCTACCTGAGGATACGTTTATAGTTGGCTTTGCGGATGACGTCATTGTCGTGTGTCTTGCGTGGAGCGAGGAAATCCTTGAGGTAAGGGTCAATGAAGGTCTGAGACGAGTAAAGCGCTGGCTGGATCTCAACGGTCTTCAGATGGCCGTAGAGAAGACAGAGGCCTTGCTCGTCACTGACCGGAGAGCCTTTAAAGCCCCAAAGATTCAGATTGGGACAACCGAAGTCTCCTGGGGGACAAAGCTTAAGTACCTGGGGGTGACGTTGGATCGAAGGTTAAACTTCGCCCAACACTGTCACACCAAGTCACTTGAGTCCGCCGAATGCATCGGAAACCTTTCAAGGATGATGCCAAACGTCGGCGGCCCCAGGGAAAAGAAACGGCGACTGGTGGCGACCGTGGGTCAAGCAAAGCAGCTGTATGCTGCCCCTGAATGGGCTGATAAAGCCCTAAAGAGCCACGGCATCTCTAAGGACCTACTCTCCGTAGAAGGTACTTCGGCACGGAGAGTGGTCTCTGCCTACAGGACAGTTTCAACGAGTGCCGCCCTAGTTCTTGCGAGCATGCCGCCAATTGACTTATTGGCGGTGGAAAGACAGGAAGTCTACATGCTTAACAAAGAGCTAGCAAACTCGCAAGAACAGGAAGTTAGGAATAGTCTAAAGATTGCTATTCGAAGAGAGGCAAGAAAAAGACTCGTTGAAAAATGGCAAGAGAGATGGGATGAGGAATTGAAAGGAAGGTGGACGTACCGCCTGATTCCTCACCTCGCCACCTGGCTTGACAGAGAGCACGGCGAAGTTGGTTACTACCTGACACAAGTGTTGTCAGGTCATGGTTGCTTCAACCAGTACCTCCACCGGTTTAAAATAAGAAGAGCACCGGAATGCGTGTATTGCGATAAATCCCTCGTGGATGACGCTGAACACACGCTATTTTCCTGCGAGCACTGGAGCGTTGACAGAGAAGCTATGTTTGCGGCGGTTGAGACCCGATTCAACGCCGATAGCATGGTCTCTGTCATGCTCCAAAGTGTGGACTCCTGGAGGCATGTTGAGACCTTCGTTTTGAAGGTCATGTCTATCAAAGACAAAGACGGCACGAGAAGAGGTTGACCGGAAGATATCTTGGCTCGGCTGGGGGTGTGCGGGGGTGCGAGGAGACATTTGATCTCCTCTCCTTTCCCGCCCCCCAGCCTATGAAATGGTGAAGGCAAGGGAACCGTTTTACTTGCGAAGTGTAAAGCCAGACGGCAGTTCCGCAAGTAAGAGTAAACGGTTCCAATAGGGGTGTGGTTTTAGCGGGTCGGCTTACATAGGAGTAAGTCAACCCCGCACACTTCGGAGAAAAGAGTGCGCCTCCGAAACGGTCTGATCCTTGGAGTTGCAATTCCCTCCTTGGTGTAGCAGATTTCCACGTTTGCCCTTGCGCAAAAAAAAAAAAAAAAAAAAAAAAAAAAAAAGCTGACTCAATTCTTTTTATAATTTAGAGGTTTAACCAGAATTCCGTTAAATTATTTGAAATTAAAAAAAAAAGTGTTTTCAGCATATTCTTAACTTAATAAAATTTATTTCACTCAAAATCCTTAAGCGGCGTTTTTGTGTTCAAATATATGTATGAAAATGTTTCGATCACACCATAGATTGACCTGTTTAAGACCAGGTCCAAGTGAGGCAGCGCCATCTACATTGAAACTAAAATTTTGGAAAATTTTCAACAGCCTTTTCTTGAAAACAAGAAGGTAAAATGCTTTTTCCTTTATGGATAATTGATTATTGGCAAGATATACACCAGGTAAAACTATTTTTCAGTTAAAATAATAAAAAAAATTTCATGTCAATAAATTAAATATGAGCACTTTTTTCACAAAATCTGTAACAGTACTTTCACAGAAATTACAATCAAAAATGCAATTTCCATTTGGAAAATTAATAAACGCTAAAAAATACACGACCTAAGATTTACCAATCACGAAAATAACAAAAAAAAATTTTATTAAATATTTAAAATATTTATAACAAAATTTTAGTTTCAATGTAGATGGCGCTGCCTCACTTGGACCTGGCCTTAAGGCAAAAATGCAGTTGTGCCTTTTAAAAATGTATAAATTTAAATTAAATCACAATTTTTATTATCATCATCTTTAAATTGTTGCCACAGGAATACAATTAGAGGCACATCATTGAAGAAAGTCTTAAATTTTTTTTTTCCATCACCTTTTAAGAAATGCATTGAACTTTTATTTTTATCCAACACCGTAATAGATATTTTCATAAGAAGACGTTCAATTGGATTTTTTTAAAAAGTGCTTTCACTCAATCAAACCTTCGTATATTTAATTTTTGTGGTGGCACACTAATGGGATAGTGAAAATTTTTTGACAAAATATGTCTGTTAGACATTTCTATAGTAGCTGAAGTGATATTTTACACGCC